TGTCTTGTTCCTGTTCTTAAAGGAAAGGCCCTCAGTTTTTCCCCATTCAGAATGATACTGGCAGTAGGCTTGTCATAAATGGCTTTTATTGTGTTGAGATATCTTCCTTCTATACCTAATTTGTTGAGAGTCTTTATCATGAAGGGATATTGAATTTTGTCAAAAGCCTTTTCAGCATCAAAATAGATGTCTTTTTGTATTGGCAAATAAGTCATTGAGAATATGCACAGCTTTTAGTGGAGTGTCAGTTGTGCAAATGTCATATAAGTACATTGAAAAATAAATGGAAGATAAAAAAATGCAGACAACAATTGTAGTCTATTAAAGGAGCTGCCTATAAATAAGAAGGGAAGGCGATGGCTAGACTGGACCACAAATTTGAGAGAACTGTATCTTTTAGTAGGACAGATGTAATCATGTTTGAAGGCTGTGCAGGAGCAAGGGTTCAAATGGAATATTGTTGGAAATTTGTTTTGGTGTCTTTTTTCTAAATTAGGAAAGAAAATGCTTCCTGAATGCATTATTTCTTTTTAAAACTGTGAAGCCCTAAGTATCTACAAAATCTACGAGAGATTTGAGAAAATGTTCCTTAAGAGTTGGTCCCACATTTCAGGAAATGGGATTGACTAGATCATTAGAGGCTAAATCACTCAGGGAGTCACTCATGTTAATTTATTTTGGAAAGGCTCAAGGAAGAAGTGGCATTTAGTAGGTAGGATTACACTGGTAGAGACAGTTGGCTAAGATAGTGGCTTGGTCATATAACAAGCAAAAAGCAAAAATGCGTAAAATATTTTCAAATTATGATCAGTTTGCTATAAATTGGGAGTAAATGTACAGGATTTGTGGGTGATAAGCCTGGAAATAATTAGAGAAGCTGAATCAATGCAGACTTATGGACTCTGAGGGCTCACATAATTCTCCATCCTGGAATGTGCCCAAACAGCTGTGCTCAGGACCAGCTACTCCAGAAGTTTTAAGTATCAATATCAGTAACAAACATAGGGAGATTGTGATAAAAAGCTATGCATAGGTCAAGTTCATTTCCAAGTTGAATAGATTGAATTTTGAGATAACAGTGAGACATCGAGTCAGAAATGTTTAACAAATATTTGGAAATAAGAGATTGTGCTCATAAAAGGGATTGCATTCTAGTATTAATGAAGGTAAGTGAAACTGAGGATCTATAAGTAAATGTAATGACGAGAGTAAGAGGATGATTACAAAAGCATTGTTCACATACGTAGAATAATGTAACTTCATCCTCTGGTTGAAAGGATCCTGAAATGGTCATATACTGGAATACAAAGCTATCAGAGATGGAAAGTTGTCCATAATACATGAAGTAAGTAGCACAAGCAAGTCTAGAGTACGATCACATTTTTGTAAACACTCACATACACAAACACAAAACATATGTTCATATGTGTTTGTATATGTATAGAAAAATTCTAGAAAATACACTGACAATAATGATTGCCATTCACTCATTCAACACATAATTGTTGACTACCTACCATGTGCCAGGCATTGCGCCACCTGGTGGGAAGGCAATGGTGACTAAGACTGACAAGGTCACTGCTCTTATAGAGCTTCTAATCTAGGGAGAGAGGAAGACTGTATAAAGATGAGCAGGCTATTAAACACTATGATATTACAGGCACTGTACTAAGCACTTCAAATTCTTTATCACATTTACTCTGTTCGATCATTGTAAGAGTTATTATTAGTAGTTTCATTTTATCTATTAGGAAACTGAGGCTCAGAGTTGCTAAGTAACTCATTCAAAGATATGCTTCTGTAAGTGTAAGTGATAAGCTTCCACACCAATATAGCAGAATCATACGTACTAAAAAGACCAAATATTTTGGATTTTTTTTGTAGTAACTTTTGCATTATTTAGGGTCAAGATAAGTAATATAAATAGAAAGACAATAGAGTATAAAAAAGTTTCTTGAACTTATTAATGGTCATGAAAATGCAGATTTAAATTACAATAAACTAGTGTTTCACATCCTGTAGATAGACAAAAAATTGTTTTTAAACAATAGAACCAAATGTCGGTAAGTATTGGAACAATGGGTACTCTCATACACCGCTTGAAGGGAATGTAAATTGGTAAATCCCCTTGGAGAGCAGCTGGCCATGTGTGGTAAAGTTGGAAATGCACATGAGCCAGGATTTCCATTCTTAGGCACAAACCCTAGAGAAATTTTCACATCTGCTAAAAGGAAAATGAACTAGAATCTTCATTGCAACATTGTTTGTAACAGCAAAAAAGTTATAAATAATATAAATATCCATCGATTTTCTAAAAAGGATAAATAAATTTTTTATAATTATATAAGGGAAATGGATTAATAAAATTTTTTCTTAGGTGGGAGATACACAGTTATTCAATATATGATGCAAATCTTTATTACTATACATTTTTAAATAGATTTTGTTTTTAAAATAAGAAAAATAAATTAAGTATTTTTAATTCTCATAACAAGAGAAATGGTGAGCCACCCTTTATCCCCACCTGGGATCCTACTTCCTAAATGCAATCATGTCCAAACTCTTAGCCTTTTCTTTTGAAATTTTTCCCCATGAAAAAAAAGATGCCCAGTACTTGATCCTATATCGAATTTAGAATTGCACACAATGAAGACATCACTAAATCAAGAGTGTGGATTCTCCTTAAGCAAGTGGAGACCATTGCCAGAGTAGTGTTGTGGCTCAGGTTCATCACCAGGTACATTTCAGACCAGTATAGCCCTGGGAATCCATACTGAGTGGCATATGCAACAAACTTCCTGCTAGATTTCAAAGACGGGGCCACATGTGGGAGTGAAGAGGACACCTGCTGACGGTGGTGATAGGAGGGATGGAGAGCAGGTCAGTGTTTGGGAGGTATCAAAGTGAGCCCGACAGAGATGACGGTCCTGAAATGGTAAAGATGAAATACATATAAAAAGGTGGCTTATATTATTACGATAATATGCTCTATAGATTTTGCCTGTCTCCACCCACTTAATGAGAACATGGGTTTGTCTTCTGTGTTCATTAGTTCCTGCTACAGAGTAGGCACTCAACAAATACTTGTTGAGTTAACAAGTGAATAAGTGCAAAAGTAGAGGGAGTGTGGCAAATGTAACAGAATAATTAATACATTGCAACGCCATGGATGGTTTCCCTGGAAATTCTCTTCATGAATATGAATTGAAAACATTTATTCCTCATCCAGCTTGGTGAGCTGCAGGAGAATAAAAGGTGAGCATCCCGTACCTTCCCATTGTTGGGGTCTCAGTGGAAGTCAGGTGTCAAAGGCATGGCTTCACCTCTCTCAGGAAGTTACAGACACAACTTATTTCCCAAAGTGCTCACTGATAAGAACTTATTTAAAATCAGGGGGTGAAGGGGCTACGTCGTGGGAAAACAGAAGGATTCTCTGGGATATGTGTTTTTAAAAGCTGTTACTTAAATCTTCTCCTGTTTATCTCCCCTGAAGAGTCTGTTTGTTTTATCTCTTCCTTTTTCCCGACTCCACACACACTTTGGCTGATATTTTCACACTTGAGAGATTTTCATTATTTATGAGAAGACCTAATGCTGAGGGATTGGCTTAGTGCTCATGACTTTTTCATTAGCATGTTAGTTTTATGTTTTTATGAGAACTCTTGAGAGTTCTCTCCATATTTTGCCAGGTTTTTTTTTTTTTTAATCACCCATCATTCATTGCCAGGATTTAATTAGCAAATGTATTCTTTTGTTTAATCTTGTTTTCTTTCCTCCTCTTTGTGCTTAATTCCAAATAACAGATGCACTATAGTGCTTTTTTCTTTTGGTTCTGATCCCTTGACAACATGACTATAAAGATCCATGAATTCCTTGTTTATGCTTCTTTTGGTTGTGGTCAATATTCCATTATTTCATTGAATACGACAGTATGTTGTGGAAAGAGTGGGAAGTAGAAGTCCTGTTTTTCACGTAGGTTCTGCAATTTACCAGTTCTATGACTTTAGGCAAATCACTCAGACCTTCTGTGCCTTAATTTCTCTATCCATCCAATGAGTAAAATAATGCTGTTCTTATAGAGTCAACTGAGACAAAAGACTGGTAACGTCTTCTGGCCTGGCCTAATGTTGCCCTAATCACTGGTTTGTGTGTGGCAGCCCAGCCATCTCTCAGCATTGCCAGAAATGCTTGCTGTTCAGGGTAGTCACAGTCAAAGTCAGCTCCCTTGGTAGAACCCAATTATTCAGTCATCCTTAAAAAAAAATTATTGAGCACTTATGTGCCTGACACTTTTCGAGGAGTTGCAAATACAGTGGTTAGTCAACTGCACTCACACAGATAAAGTCATTAGCTACCTCATGAGCTTACATTCAAGTCGGCATGAGATTATAGGAAATGGGTAATTTATGTAGAATAGAAAATACATGCAGGTATATTTATATTTATATTGAAGTGATGGTATGTTGGTTACATTGCAAATTGTACATATAAATAAAATCTCAAAAAAACCTTCCCATTCTTATTGTATGCGCATATCTTTTAAAATTCATGGGCATTCAAAAGAAAAACAAGATGGTGTTTAGGGTGGAGGTAGGGGATGCTCACTCCTTAGGCCAGAGCCCAGCCTTAGTAGGTGCTTTCAGTAATAACTCTGATAGGCAGGCTGCTCTCTTATCTCAGATACAGCTGCCACTTTCTCTTCATCCTGATTCCTCTCTTTTTTTGTGTGTGAGAGAAAACATGCTCCCTCTGCCCCATGAATTATTTTTCCTCCACAGTCTCTATCACTCAATCAAGATAAACACCTGTGCTATACTATAAACATCCTCCCTACCTCTCACCCCACACTGGAGATGTATACTTGTATGTGCCCCCAAACAATCCACTTTGGGTTTATTTAATCTTTTTGGCAGAAAGCAAATGCTAGCTCATGCTTGGTTCTTATAATGTGGCATACTGGAGGAAGACACATGGGTGGAAGTTTCTGATCCCACATATACCTCTTAGCAGCTGCATGAGTTTGGCCAGGAGACAGTTCTTCTGTGCCTCAGTTTCTTCATCTGAAAAATGAGATAATAAAACTTCTCATCTCACAATGTTTTTGTGTAAGAGTAAAATTACACAATGCATGTCATGTACTGTCTGGTACAGAATGATCATTCATTCAATCATTGTTAAATAGTAGTATTGTTTCTTGATAGGGTAATTGTCCTTAGTTTTACCATAGTCTTCTAATGGAGAGCTTGGAGGCTCTGAGAGAATGAATAAAGGTTTTTTGGGTAAATGTAAACTTAGATTGGATCATTATTTTATCAATAAGAAGCCACATAATAGATGCAACACTTTGGACCCTGGATCCATGACCCTGGGCAATTTATTTAATTTACTTAATTTCTCTGGAAGATCTTTTATTTGTTCACCAATAGCACAAAGGGTTGGCCTCAGTTCATTTCAAGTTCAAAGTGATCTGAGAAGGAAAAATTACAGAAAAAAAAAAAAACCCAACGATAGTGAGGATTTCAAATTATTCAGAGGTGAAAAATGAATAAGAATCAAATGGGAAAGGTTTTTAATTCACGGGGATAGGAAGATTAGAGAAGAGCGGCTCTTGAGTCATACAAATTGACAAGGCCTATGACCGAAACAAAAAAGGTAGATTGAAAGGCTTCTGGGTCATGAGAACCAAGGACAGATCAATTAGCTCTAAGCATCAATTTCCTGGATTGTTGAGTGGATAAAATGACAATTAATTTTAAAATGCTTTGAAAAAGATAAAAGTGCTTTAAGAAAATGAGGCCATTTTAATGATGAGCAGATATGCTGCTTCAATAACAGATTCTTAAGGATGAAAAAACAGAATTTGATGTTTCATTATTTCCATCAGTGTCTTGTTGGTTTTGGTTTCGGTTGATTTAAGGTGTGGGCTGTATAGTCAGTCATTTTTTGTTTACTGTAAACTTATTATCTAAAACAACTTATTTTGTTTGAATGAATATTCTTCCCCCACTTCTTTTATACAGAATTTTTTACCTTTGCTGTCGTTACAGTATTACAAAAATGTTTTTCAATGCATTCTACAGTATGACTGCTCCTTGCTCTAATCCCATTCTGTAGGTTTAGGAAAACTGGACTTATACTCAAAATAAGTCTCATAATGGTACAAAAAAGGAGTTGGAAAGGGCAATGAAGTCAAATGTCACAGCGCACTGAAAAATCCAAGACACTCAACTAGCTGAAAAAAATTTCATCAATATTTTGACAGTTGTGCATTTACATACAAGTGTTATTCTATGTCAAACTTACTTTTATGTCTTTTAAAATAATTGCAAACAGTGCAATAGTGGTGTTCCATGAGGGTTTTGTTATAACCAAAGAAGCTCTGATTATACCGCCCTTTCAAGAGAAAGTTTCAGTTTCTAGGACAGCAGTTTCCCAGAAGCCCTTCACCCGGATCTTTAGTAGACAATAATAATTTTTCAAGATATCTAAAGACGGCTCTTGAAAATCATCCAGATACAGGAGGCTGTAAAGGAAGACTTTTTCAAGATATGAGAAAAGACATCTAAATAAACAACCAAAAAAAGGAAAAATATTACTTTGTCAAACTATCCATTACAATATCCTTGAAACATTTTTTAAAATCTGTATTACTCTTTTAATCACCCTTTTGTGTCCCATTATTGTGTTCTATTTCAGTCTAATACACACGGGATCAGAGGCTTTGCTTTTCCCCCTAATCAAGACCATATAGATATGGAGAAAGCCAAGACAGTGGAAGAAAAATAAAAGGATCATACAATTTAGTCCCTGTTCTCAAGGAACTAGCTATCCATATGGGAGAAGACTGGCAAAGAGTGCCAAGTGTCAAATGACATGTGTGGAAGGCACCTTCCAAGATGGCCCCCCACCATCTTACATCCTGTTATTCACAGTGTTGTCCCCTTTATATTGTACCAGAGCTGGTCTATGTGACCAATAGCATGTGACAGGGGTGATTGTACATCTCTTCTGAGGTTAGGTTAGAAAAGACAATGTGGCTTCCATCTTGGTCTCTCACTGTCCTTTTCTCCCAGATAACTCCCTTAGAAGACATGTCAGATGCCATGCTGTGAGCTGCCCTATAGAGAGGTTTACAGGTGAAAAACTGAAGTCTCTGGCTAACAGCTGGCAGGGGACTACAGCCAATAGCCACATGGGTGAACTTGGAAAAGAATCTTCAGACCAGTCGAGCCTTCAGAAGGCCTCAGCCCGAGTCAACATCTTAACCACAATCCCTTGTATTACTCTGAGCCAGAAACAGCAGCCCTCAGAAACTGCATGAGGTAACAAATGTTTATTGTTTTAAGCTCTAAGTTTGGTGGTAATTTGTCATATGACAATATATAATGGATACAGTATTCCTCAGACTAAAACTGTTCTCAGAATTAAGGAAAGATAGAGATTGATGGGGACCCAGCTTGTGTGGCTAGGCAGCTTGAAGAAAGCATGGTCCCAGGAAGGAATTTCAAACAGAGAGAACATGCCTTCCATCTGCTTCACCAGCAGCAGCAAGGTAGCTCCTCTCTTCAGGGAAGTCACTGTTGCTAGTCCTGTGTATCTTTCTGGCATATTCTGAGCATTTCTGATATTGATTTTTGAACACCTTATATACATAACTAATTTCTCCTTAATATATACCAGGGAAGGAAACATGTAAACTTGTAAAAACTTTGGCCCATGTTTTAAATTCATCTCCAAAGTGGGTTTGTTTTTCAATCCTAGAGATGTGTTCTTAGTTTTTGACATGGATTGTCTGAACTTGCTTCATTTTCATTCTGCTTTTCTATTTTGCCCAGATTTGTAGGACAGACTCTTCAAAGATGCATTTGGACTCAGGATTATTTCAAAATCACCTGAGCAATAAGCTTTTCTAAAATGATAACTTCCATTCATGCAGCTAACTGATAGTTCCCATCAGTTAGTCTTTCCTCCCTTTCTGAAAGCTAAAGATATTTAGCTTTCATCGATAATTTATTATCTCTTTCTAACAAATATGCAGTTAGCTTCCATTAATAATTTATTATTTGTTTCAACAGTCATGCTCAGCTGAGGGTCCCTGAACAACAAATTTACATTTCAGAGTGGAGAAAAGCTTCAGCCTTTTAGAGTTGAGAAGATTTCCTGTACTGTGCAAAATTCACGCATTAATTATTAGGGGTTTTTAAATTTCCTGTGATCCTCACAAGCTTCTAAGACTTTCAAAGCAGTGGCTGTCTATAGAGTTGTTATATTTTTCTTCTTTGGAACTTATTTGTATCATACATGAACTTTGGAATCGCATTGCTTACATTCTGCTTTTTTTTTTTTTAACTTTAAAAAAAGTGTAAAAGACCATCTGAAGAGTCAATGAAAATGTATGTCAGTCTCAGGTACTTGAAAGAGAAGTTCTTTATTTTCACTCGCTAACAATTTTTTTCTTTCTAATATAAGTTTTCCACATTTCTCAATCATAGTTTCCATGATTATACTTTACATCTTTTTTGTAACCTCAGTTTTCTGTTTAGCATGTACTTCACTTCATTTTAAAGTTGGCTACTGTATTAGTCTGTTTTTGTTTCTTATAACAAAATACCTGGAACTGGGTGATTTATAAAGAAAAATGAAATTTATTGCTTACAGTTTCTGAGGCTGGGAAGTACAAAGTCCATCTGATGGTGGTGACAGTGACCCAGGGGTCTCACAGTGCAAGATGGTGGAAGCAGAGAGAGCAGAGAGAGAGAGAGACAGACAGACAGATTCTCCTCTTCTTTTAAAACCCTCAGAACCAAGCCCCTGACCACCATTTTTAATCCATTCACTACCACACAGCCCTACAATCCAGTCACCTCTTCAAGGCTCCACCTTTCAGTTACCATAATAGGATTCCCCGCCCCTCTTAACAGTCACTATGGGGACCAAGTTTCTAATACATAAAACTTGGGGGACACAATTCAAGCTTCAGTGAATTTTGGGGGGACATAATTCAATCCACTACAGCTACAAACTTTATTTATTTTTAACCCCAGACCACAAACCATAGTCACATGATTTAAAACACATATATAGAATAATTAAAATATTCCAAAAGTCATAAAAGCCATAGCATTCATGCTCTTTTATTTGGTCGATAGAGAGTACTTGTTTATATTTTTATTTTTATAAGATACATTTAGTGCCTTTAGCTATGTGTTTCTGGACTTTAAAATTTTTTTTACTAGTTTAATTAATCTTGAACATGGCTTTGCAGAACATGCAATAAGTTATACAAGTCACAGAGATTTTCTCCAGCTTGTCCTCATTTCCTTTGCTATGGTGTAATATTAACTTTGCTCCTGAACTCTCCACTAATTTCCTCCACATAAACTTAACTGACTTTATCTTTTGTTTTTGGCTGTTGCTCCATGGGACGAACCCCTAATAGTCTACTATGATTTTCCAAGTTTTCTAATTTTATTTCTCTGTCTTAACATTCATCAGTGTTCAATTTTGGTCTATGTATCTCCTAACACCCAATGCAAGTCTGTCTTCTTCTGGATGGAACATACTTTAGGGCTTATATTGGTCAGGGTTCTCCAGGGAAGCAGAACCAGTAGGAGATCGATATATCTATGTTTATACCATTCATATCGGTACACACACACATGCACGCACACACAAAAGAGAAAAAGAGAGAGAGAGAGAGATTGATTTATTGTGGGGAATTGGCTCACAATTATGGAGACTGAAAAGTCCCAGGATCTGTAATATGAAAGCTGCAGAACAAGAAAATCCAGTGATGTTATAATTCGCTCCAAGATTGAAGGCCTGAGAACCAGGAGAGCCAATGATTTAAATCCCAGTCTGAGGGCTGGGATGAATGAAGATGATGAAATGAAATGTCCCAGCTCAAGAGGTGAGGCAGGAAAATAGGGGGATGCATTTTTTCCTTCTTCCAATTTTTCTATTCAGGCTGTCAATGGATTGGATGATGCCCAACCATACTGAGGAGGGCAAACTATTTTACTGAGTCCACCAGTTCAAATGCTAATCTTATCAAGAAACCTCTTCATGAATAATGTTTAATCTGGGCACCTGTGGCCAGTCAAGTTGACACAAAAATTAACCATCACAGGCCTTGATAAATTAATACCTAAAAACGTAGTAAACAGCAAGAGGATTAGCCAATTTTCTAATAAGAAAACAGTGCATCAGCACAAACCCAGAGAAAGAGATACTTCTCCCAAATTCCTAGAGATTATAACAAAGTGGCAGCACATTGAAAGAAAGTTTATGTTTAGTAGTTCTCCAAATTGAATGTGCTTAAGAAAGCTCTACCCAGGACACTCTTAAGTATTGCTGATTTCTAGGCCTGATCCCAAGACACTGATTCAGTATGTCTTGGGTGGAATCCAAGAATCTGCACCCCCAAGATTTCTTTAAAATCAAGTTTAGTCTCATACCTTGAGGAAGGGACACTGTGATGAAAAACAGAAAGCTCTTATAAGATCAATATGTACATGCTCATGGTATTGAAACAAGGAGAAAGATTAACTTAGTGTTTGTCATGCATGGGAAAAATAGCCATCTCTCAGATTTTCTGGAAGATTCCTTAGAGAAGGTATAATTAGAGAAAATATTTAAGTAATTCAAGAGAAGAATATACTTGTGAAGAGTGTAAGGAAATTGTTTGAACTTGCTTTGAAACATGGAAAAACAAAAAATATCTAAAGGAAAGTAGGCTTTGTTAACAAGGTGGAAATAGCTAAGATGGAAGCTAATTTAAGCCTTCCAAGGGCCATTAATTCTAATGATTCCGTCTGCTTTATTAGATGTTTATGGACATATAGCCAGCTCCCATTTATTCTAGAAAGATTTTTGAATTAGGCCTCTGTCTATAGAACAGTGATTCTCATTCCCAGCTACACATTAGAATTATCTGGGAGCTTTAACAAATACTAATGTCTAGGTTCCACCCACTAAATATTGCTTTTTAATTGGTCTTAAATATGGTCTGATCTTCCAGAGTGCTAACAGCTTCTCAAGTGGTCTTTATATGCAGCCAAGATTAATAACTACTGCTCCAGTTAACCTGGCAAGTGCTGCTGTAGCATGAAATTAAACTAAGATAGACTGATTCTAGAATAATTCATACACGGTGCACAACGCTTCGCAGTTCATCATTAGCTAACAGCTATAAACTCTTTACTTTTTTTTCCAATGCTGAATATTCTTAAACAAGACAGTTAGATGGAAGTTATATTTCAGTAACAGAATATAAATATTAGTCTCTTTATTTTTATTTATATATTATTTATTAGGTGGGCTAGTCCATGCCTGGGAAGGAGGTAAATCTAAAATCAGGGATACAAATATCCTGATCATCACATCAACATAGACTTGTGTGGTAGACAGAATAATGGCCCCCAAAATGTCCACACATTAATTCCCAGAACCTGAATAGCATGAACGTAGCAAAGGGGGATTAAGGTTGCAGATGGAATAAATGTTGCTAATCAGCTGATTTTAGGATAGGAAATTACCCTGAATCATCCACTGGAGTTTGATATGACCGCAAGAGTCCTTAAAAGTGAAACAAGGTCACAGAAGGAGAGACAGAGGAGATGTGACTGTGAGGTAGGGTCAGAAGGATGTGAATGTGAGAAGAACTCCACCTGTTGGCACTGGCTTTGAAAGGAAGTGCCACGAGCCAAGGAGTGTGAGCAGTTGCTAGAAGCTGGAAAGTCAAGGAAACGGGCTGTCATCTTGAACCTTCAGAAAGGTACGTGGTTCTGCCAACACGATTTTAGCCCAGTGAGACCCGTTTTGGACTTCTGACTTAAAAAACTGTAAGGTAATAAATTTGTGTTTTAAGCCACTAAGTTTTTGATCATTTGTTACAGCAGCCATAGGAAACTAATACAACTTGCCCATTAAATGAGAGGAGAAACCCATGGAAACATGAACAAACTCTCTTGAGATCAGCTCTTTGGTGGCAGTAAGAGCACACACCAGGTTTCCCACGTCATATATCTTACCTGGGAAGACTATAATTACTACAGATGGGTGTTAAATGATGCCTAGTCTCCTTAGTGAAAACACAGCTTCTCAATCCACAATTCATCAAATGGTCATGGTGCACCTACTGTGTGATAAGGTGCCAAGGACAAAGTGCCCAGTAGAGGAAATGACACTGAGAACATGGAAGCTCTCTCTCGTATTCTATGCCATGTGCAGTATTTTCAGTGCTTCTCAGACTCCTCAATAAGCAAAACTATCATTTGGAGGGTTTGTCACCACACCATCTTTTTTTTTCTTGCCTCAAATGTCACTTTTGTAATCAGCACTGTGTCCATTCATTGTTCAGAAACAAGTGCCTGATCCTTCACAGAGAAACTCTTCATTCTTTTTTTTCAGATTCCTCCATGAACATCCTTGTTCTGTGCATAGAACTTCCCCCCACACTGCAGTCATGATAATACACAATATCAGATCAGTACAAACAAGGAACCGCCCTGAGTCTTGACAGAAGGAGGTACGTTTAGTAGTTCCCCAAATTGAGTGTGCTTAAGAAAGTTCTACATGGGACAATTTTAAGTATTGCTGATTTCTAGGACTGACCCCAAGAGACTCTGATTCAGTAAGACTAATTGGGTGGGATCCAAGAATCTGCACCTTCAAGATTTCTTAAAATCTAGTGGGGGATACAGAAAAGAAAACAGAACTTCCTAATACTGTGCAGTTAACTTGCTTATTCATCCACAAATTATTTAGGGAGTACTTATCCTGAGCTAGAGCAAAGAAGAGTGAGATCCAAGCATGTATTTTACATACTCAAAGGAGGGTGCTGAGGACCCCCTCCACTTCAAGTTTAATTTTATTAGAATTTACTTAAACATTCAGAGATTTTATAGAGCTGACTGCTGCTAGTCATTGAGAATGGCTACGGAGTAGCTTTTATATCTGTGTGGCAAGCCCTTCTAGAAAGATCTCAGCAGGACCCTCTCAATACTTTAGCTTTTTATTATGAGGTGCTTCTACACTATAAACTTAAGCCTCTATTTAGAGGCTTTTTTTCTTCTTCTTAAAATCTGAAATTGTTCCCCCAAAAAACAAGCCAACTATGCAAATAAGAAAACTTAGAAGAAGGGGTTTCCACAGGGCACTCACATTAAAATCATCTGGGAACACTTGAAATTCCTACTGAACTGGAGTCTCAACACCTGACACTTTAGAACCTGCATTTTGCACATGGACTCCAGGATAAAGTATGGCAATCCCCGCCTTAGAGTATCCCCTAGTCTATCCCACATTGACATTAATTTTTCTTTTCTTTTTTCTTTTTTTTTTTTTTTGTCTTTTTCCGTGTCCGGCAACGGATCGCAACCCTCAGTGTTGCCCCCGTACCGGACCGGGGACCAGCAACGGGATTGCAACCCTCGGCATTGCCCCCGCACCTCGCTCAGCCAGTGAGCGGGAACCGGTCTGTATGTGGGATCCGAACCCTCGGGCGGGAGCGCCGCCGCGCTTCCCAAGCGGCGCACTTATCCAGTGCGCCACCGGGCCGGCCCTAATTTTTCTTTTCAATTCTGAACAGTGAAGCTTTACAGATTTTTTTTCCAACTTGACTGTAAAAGTCAGTGGGGTTTCCATAAGGATTTTGGACAAAGCTAGCCTCTTAAACTAGTAAGTTGCATAAATAATGCATGAGACATCATCTGGAGAAGTAACTGAAGAGCTGTCTATAAGTAATTGAAGAGAGGGGAACACTCGAGTCCAACCATCCAAGATAAGTTGGGTACAATTTAGCTATGACTTATCTTGGCAAGACTAGAATATGTTAGTAATTAAAACATCAATACCTAATTAATCAATTTCATTGTAGTAGATCTGAGAAAAGCTTGTTAACAGAAGACTATTTGTTCTCTCTCTCTTTTTAGATTTACTATTGTTTAAAATTAAAAAAAAAAAAAAAAGCTTCTTATTTCTGAGCACTGACTATCCAGGAGAGAAAGAAAGAGACAGAAAGACAGAATTGGGGGTGAGGGTGGGTGGAAATTGGATTTGGAGAGAATAAATATCTGATAACTAGACAAACCTTTTCTTCTCCGAGTTAGAGATGAGCCACGAAGCTTCACCGTGAGCTGGAGGAAGCACTCTCAATACTATCTCAAGACTCTTGGCTCAAGGTCCATAATCACTGCTCATGTTTTTTTTTTTTTTTTTTTTTTTTCTATTTTTTGGGGTTT